ATTGACTTTGCATTTAAATCTTTTGAAGATCAAATTTGTCTCAAAAGCAAGACGCTTGAGGAGAGTTCCACAAACGAGAAGTGCGAGAGAAGAAACTCTTAACATAAAACTTACGGTTACATCTAACAATTTAACGTGTAAGATAATAATACCTTGCTGCAAATCTTGTATTGCGTTTAAATTCATAAACTTTAGGTAACACAGAGGAATGTTCATTTGAGGAATTTCCATTAGAATATTTAGAAAAAGTTCACAGTGAAGCTTTGCTGGGAAAGTGAGTGAAGCCAAGATGTCGGGTTAGGACAACTAACATTGGAGACTCTTCTTTGGATTTTATCAAGAATATCTAAATATATAGCAAGAACACCAGATAGTAATATTCAATGCATGGACGAATGGCAGACTTATAAATATCCAAAATAGATTCTGGTGAGAAAAATTGTCTATTACGACACAGTGAACCAACTTTTGTAGCAGCAAAACCTAGCGATCAATTCAGTATAAGCTTTCCACTTCATTTTAAAAGTTAAGTAATTTTACCATCGCATTCGCTATATTTTCTGTGCCAGTAAAAATCTTTATTTGTACTGTAATAGTAGGCTAAGTTTAATAAATAAAATAAAATAAAATAAAAATATTCCTTTAATTCCTTTAAAATTATCACCTACTCATCATCTCCCTAAAACATCCTTAACATTAACATCAGAATTCTTAAGGACAGTCGAATCAACTAACCTCGTTTTTGAAACCAGATACTTAGGCGAAACTAAAGATCAGATATCCTGTACCAAAGCGAACGACAATACTACTCACTCTCTGACCTCGTTATTGTGATTTACTAAGCCTAGCTTAGATGTGGCATAAAGACGAAAGTATGGAGCACCCAGTGCGGATCGAATTCACTACTCAATTGTAATGGATCTATCGAGACAAGCTTGCTAAACATTACACCACGTTGCAGAACTCATCCAACCTCAGTGTAAATGCAGCAAAAGAGGGCTTGAAGATCCCTTCTAGCCATCCTTTCGCCAGAAATTAAGAGAGGCGGGTCCACACTATTAACCACCAAAAAAAAAAAAACTAACCAGGCTGCATATATAAAAGAAGTAGGGGTCTCTTTCTCTCTCTGTCTCACTCTCTTTCTCTCTCTGTCTCTCTGTTCCAACGTACCGCGAGCTACGAACCCTGCCTTACAAGAAGGATTTGTATGCAAGAAAAAATAAACCTTCTAAAACAATTTCCACTAAGCGTTCATTGATTGTGAAGGCAAAAAAAATCAACATTCATTGCTAACATCCACAAAAGAAAAATCAGTTTTATAAAACATATTTCATCTGGTTTTCACTTGTCATACGCGGATGGACTGAAAAGTCCAAAGGATAACTATGAAGGATTGATGCTAGAGCTGTGAAACATTGCATGCATTAATTTCAACTCTTCTTATTAATAACTGCATATATTCTTTCCTGGTAAAATGACATAAAAGAATAGCAGATATGACGTCATTGAGCTAATTATTAAGCTATGGAACAATGGAAAAATTACAGAAACATCTCCAGTGACACGAACATACCTTTTTCAACTATTGGTTCATTTATTGCAAGATTTAAAATACGTAATACTGATGAGAACAAAGGCAGACCCGGTGCTCCCAGGAAGATCTCTCCCAGATTACGAGGAAAGTTGATGCGACAGGTCCAAAATAACCCAATGGCCATCAGACAACAGAATGATCTGACTTTGTCAGGAGTTAACGTAACTAAGCAAACGATTAGTGATGAACTACGCAGAGACGGTATAAAGTCGCGCTCCCCAAGAAAGACACCACTCTTTCTGAAATTTGCGACAGATCATAGATAAGGAAAATTCTGATTGGGAAAGAGTTCTTTGGACAGATGAGAGTAAAACTGAGTTGTTCAGTCGCAATTCCCTGAATCATGTATGGAGGAAAGACGGCGAAGCATACGCACCCAAGAACACCATACCAACTGTTAAATTTGGTGGGGGTAGTATCATGATTTGGGGCTGTTTTTCGATGCGAGGTTTTGGCAAAGTAGCGATTATAGACGGTAGAGTGAATGCAGAAAAATATCAACAAATCCTAAACGAAAATTTATCGCTTTCTGTAGAGAATCTTGGGCTTCCTCCTGATTGGATCTTTCTGCAGGACAAGGATCCCAAGCATATTGCTAAGAGTACGAAGAATTGGCTTGCTAATAACAACGTTAATATCTTACAATGGCCCAGTCAGTCGCCGGTTTTGAATCCAATAGAGAATTTATGGTGGTTTTTGAAAAATAAGATCTGTGATAGAGGTCAAACAAACATCAAAAACCTGAAGACAATCACTCAGGAAGAATGGGACAAAATACCTACTAAAGTATGCGAATCGTTAATTAAAGACTACAGGAAGAGATTGGTTGCTGTTGAACTTAATAAAGGCTTTGCTACAAAATATTAAATGGAGAAAACATGTTCTTGTTCTGCTGTACGATCATTTTTTAAACCCCTAAAAATTTAAATATTGCTATATTTTCTTAACCATGGAATATTATTTATATATATTTAATATATTTTATATGTATACATTTTTAGTATGCAATCTGATACAGTAGATATATTCCCGTTTTGTTAATTTAATATGTTACAAATAAAAATATGAAATGTTTTCATGTGTACGATCACTTATTCAACTCCACTGTATATATATATATATATATATATATATATATATATAGATAACTAGACTCGTTTCGAAAAAACCCCGAATTTTTGATTTGCTAATAATCAAATCAATCTCGAGGGAAAAAAAGGGTTTAAAAAAAGAAAGAGCTACAAACATGAACTTCTGCCGACAAAAAAATCGCTCAGGTGCAGGTCTGAAGCCCAAAGAAAAACCCCCGATACGAGTAAACAACTAACTAACAAAAGCGCTCAATACAACCGTAGAGCAGACCTAGATACACCTAGTGACCCAGACAAACCTACCTAGGTTTCACCTAAAAGGATCGTCAAGGAAAGTAAACGTATTTGAATCTATTACACGCAAAAAGATGTAGTCTTTAATTAACAATCGTGGACGATTATTTTCGGCTATTTTACGTCTTGTAAATCTTGCCTTACTTTCCCTGACGATCCGTTTAGGTGAAACCTATCTAGGTTTGTCTGGCTCACTAGGTGTATCTATATATATATATATATATATATATTTTGAACAATAAGAAAATAAAAAATTAAAAAATTAAAATCATTAGACACACTGGGTTGTAGATTAATATTCTTTCGTTTTTTTATTATTATTATTCCATTTAGATTCCTCGACTAGTTTCGACCGAAATAGCCATCATCGGGAGGAGAAATATTTCTGCTTGCTGTTGGCAGTGAACTACAGAAATGAATATATATATATATATTGAGAAATATCGGAACAGTGACGTTCCATATCACGTGACGTCCGCGTCTCGCGAAGGACGCTACTTGCTAACAAACAGTAATTTTAATTTATTTGTAACAAACAGTTATTTCTGATGAAAAATTGAGGACAATTTGAAATATCAAATATATATATAAATAAATAAATACTTTCATAAAATAAAACATTATAATTTTTAATTTGAAACTTTTATATATATATATATATATATATATATATATATATATATATATATATATATATTATACATTCACATATGAACTCAGCATTAAAAATAGAATCCTTTTCCTGGACGTTCTAGTAGAGGTTAATAATGATTTTTTATCACTTCAATATATATAAAACCTATTAGTAAAACTTCATTTCTTCTTAATTATAAATGTGACTGTCCTCACAGATATAAAATAGGGTTTATAGAAGACATGATTAACCATATTACAATGATTTTCTCTTTCGACACATTATTTTACAGAGAATTAAACATAAAACATAAACTTATCAACCATACTTTGCGAAACCAGGTTGTTGATGAAGAAATAAAACTGGCTTTAAAGAAATTATATATATATATATATACATTAAGAATTGGACAAAGTCCGACAATTTATTAAAGACATTTTTATGTTTAACATTCTTTTTATATATACAAGTATTTAAGTAAATGCTCTGGTTATAATAAACAGTATTAAATAACATTTACCGGCCTGAATGTCCGAGAAATTTTAATAGAAAATATTCGTCCAATTCTTAATGTATGACGTCATTTGTTTACATTTGATACGCCATGAGCAGTTATGAATGTACGAGATTCATGGAAGATTGAAATTTATAAGCAGTAAATTCGACCCTGCCTACCGAACGCTCCTTTGTGGCCGAGTCGGTTAAGGCACGTCAGCGTAAATGACGGTTCCGTATAGGATGCAGGTTCGAATCCTGTCAAAGGACGAATATATTCTATGAAAATTTCTCGGACAAATTTCTGGAGAGCTCAATGTAAATCCAGAGCAAATAATTTAAATAAAAACAGACCACTTTAAGGTTCCATGTAATAAATTATTTCACCACAGCCCTTTGAAAGGACTGCGGATCATCAGACTTTACTTCCAAACAAAAAACGTTTTTTGTTTGGAAGTAAAGTGGTCTATTTTATTTAAATTATATATATATATATATATATATATATATATATATATATATATATAATCTTTATTATAAATGGGACATTTGTTTGGCTTATCTGAACTCGCTCGTAGAAAAACTCACACAAGATTGGCCACCCATTGTTTATAATATTTTTTCCGGACTTTAAAATACAATGCACGGTTTAAAAATGTATTTTACTATCTGCACATTTAAACAATGAGAAAAATATGCAAATAGTATGCCCTATTCACTGCTTTAGATATTATAACTAAAGCACAGTTTACTTAAATTTGAAATAGTCAGTTATAAGGGTTTGAGAAGCGGCTGTCCTCCAAATATCTTTGCTTAAAAGCGGGGTTGTTTCCGAACAAAAACAAAAACTTGAAGACGTCTTTGTAATTTTTTTTTTCTTTTGTAATCATAGACGCATGATTCTAGTACCGCGTTTGACAAAAGATACTCGCGTCTCTGCTCTCTGCCTGCAACGTTTGTGTGCCTCGACAAGGAGAAATCGTAAGGTTTGGGATTGTGTGTATGTTTGTGTGTTCTGAGCATGCGTAAACGTCTGCAACTTTGCATATCCTTGTTCACTTCCGCTTTTTTTTTTTTCTTTGCAGTATTTTTTTAAAAAACTCTTTTTTCTTTTTTTTTTTTAACACAATAAACTCTTTTCTCCTTCTTTTTATTTTTTTTGTGTGTGCGTAAAGTTCCCTTTTAACATAACAAATGTGCTCTGTTTTACTTCGACCGGGCCAACGCACAAACAAATCTCGCTAAACAGCTGTTTTCGTTCCAGAAAGAAGGTTTTTTTTTCTTTTGTTTATTTTTTCCTTTGTTTTTCTGCTGTTTTTTTTGTCTTCTCCTTTCCCTCTTTTCTTTTCTTTTTTTTCTTTTTTATTTGTTACGTCTTTCCTTTCTTCCTATTCTTTCTTTTTTTCCCCCCTCTTTAAATTGCTTTCGATTCTCTTTATACTGCTTTTATTTTTCTTCCCTATTTTTTGAAGCCATCGTTTTTCTTTCTAAGGCATACACAATAAAACAAAACCATGATCATGTGCATGCCTTTAAACATAAAAGGTTAAATATCTTCATTGATAAAAAAAAAGAAAAAAGTAAGGATAAAAATAGTAAAATAATCACACAAAGACTGGGAAATCTAATGTAAAATCATAATAGATTCAATATTTGTTCAGGGGGAAAGAAAAAAAAAACGTATTTGAATCTATTACACGCAAAATAATAGTCAGTAAATAAAATAAATTATGGTTTAAAAGAATTCGTAATCTTAAGAGTTTTACGGCGCGGAAACAGCACAGAAAAAAAAGAAAACAATCTTGAAAATGTCGTCAATCAATTCTTCTGTAAATAAATGCAAAATCAATAAGAAAAATTAAAACAAAACAAAGTATTTTTAATCAATATTTACTAACCTTATGATCTTTACTCAGCTTAGAATAATACGTGATCAAACTAAATATTGCTGTCCTGAAAAAAAAAATCAGCCTTTGAAATTCTAGATTCGAATTCGAACCTCCGGAACAGGTCGGCAAATAACAGTCGTCTAAATTACAAGCCAGTAAACTAATTTGTTGTCTTTTAAACTTTTCGTATCAAGCAAGGCAAGAAAACCACTAAGACGCAATTCCTCGAGTGTCCGTACCTCGATTTTCTCGTAAGTGAAATGAATAGAAAAATTGAATTTCATTCGAACACTTTCCAATTAGCCGGATTAAACTCGTTCTAATATTTCATCTCAGTTGCGCCCCTGAAACCCTTCAATCTTCCGATCAGAGGATTTGCTACCGGGTGTAGTTTAGTGTCATACCCAGGATTAGTTATTCTGATGAATTGGCTCCAATTCCAGGCGATTTAATTTTCGCACCTGTAACCAGAACTCACGTGACCCGTTTATATTATGTTTTATTATGACCCTTTATATTATGTTTTATTATATCTTATGTTATATTATGCGTTATGTCTTATATTATATTATGCTTTATTATATCGTATGTTATATTATGTGTTATTATGTCTTATATTATGTTTTATTATGTCTTATGTTATATTATGCTTTATTATATCGTATGTTATATTATGTTTTATTATGTCTTATGTTATATTATGTTTTATTATGCCTTATGTTATATTATGCTTTATTATATCGTATGTTATATTATGTTTTATTATGTCTTATATTATGTTTTATTATGTCTTATGTTATATTATGCTTTATTATATCTTATGTTATATTATGTTTTATTGTCTTATGTTATATCATTTTTATTATGTCTTATGTTATATTATGTCTTTGACATGTGCATAAATTATAGTCGAGTGAAGGGCAGGTAAAGTATTGCGGGAATGGAAAGTATTATCATCTTATGCATCCTGTTACATTTGTTCCGCAAACGATATTTGGTGGACTTATGTGAGTCCGGGTTGCTGCGGAGGTGGAAACAGGTAACCTGGAAGACAGAACCTTGTTGTTGTTACGGTTGTGGGGGTTAATTCCTTCTCCACCTCAGGAAAAGTAAATTCAAGGAAAAGTAATACGTCTGAGTTTGTTTAACTCCGAATTAAATTTTGGGTTTTGGGAGCGAGAGTGGCTCTGACTGGTCAAGAAATTGCTTGTATCATTTTGGTTAAAGCGGATGTATGTGTGGAACCTATGCGCAGAAAACGTATTTACGCAGTCTACTAGGAGTCGTCGAGTTGTCAACATTCGGTTTGTGGAGAAAAATGTAAGAGGTACGACAGGCTAAACAGCTGACACAAAATATGGAATTTAAACAAACAACAATTAGTAAATGTATTAACAGGACATGTTACAGAAGGAAAAAGAATGAAACCTGACTGAAATTATGAACACTTCAATACAATCTTCAGTCTATCTTTCTGAAATACTTACATGTCTCTCGGAGCGAAAGAAAAAAAAAAGTAAAAGAAGAAGAGCCTTTCAAATATCGCAAGGCTCCAACTCCATTCGATTTAATTTTCGCACCTGTAACCAGAAGTCACATGACCCATTATATTATGTTTTATTATGGCCCGTTATATTATCTTTTATTATGTCTTATGTTATATTATGTCCTATGTTATATTATGTCTTATTAGATCTTATGTTATATTATGTTTTATTATGTCTTATGTTTTATTATCTTTTATGTCTTATGTTATATTGTGTTTTATTACGTCTTATGTTATATTATGTCTTTGACATGTGCATAAATTATAGTCGAGTGAAGGGCAGGTAAGGTATTGCGGGAATGGAAAGTATTTGTTCCGCAAACGATATTTGGTGGACTTATGTGAGTCCGGGTTGCTGCGGAGGTGGAAACGGGTAACCTAGAAGACAGAACCTTGTTGTTGTTGTTGTTGTTGCGGTTAATTCCTTCTCCGCCACGGCAAACGTAAATTCAAGGAAAAGGAATACGTCTGAGTATGGGCAAATAAATGTATAGTTTATTTACTTACATAGAAAACTATTAACTTTAACTAAGGCAACAGAGAGAGAAAACGGTGAAATTAGAAGTGAAATAGACATTGCTGATAGCTGTCGTTGTCAGTGGTGTTTCTCTTTCAGTGCGTCGGTGTTGACATAAAGGCTGGTTTGTGTCGCGTTTCTCAGCTTGCCGGTGTTGACGTCCAAGTTGATCTGTTTTGAGTTTGCTTGAATCAGAGAATATATAGCCATTTGTTTGGCTCTGAATTAAAGTTTAGGTCATTGGAGCGAGAATGGCTCTGACTGGTCAATAAATTGTTTGTTTTATTTTTGTTAATGCGAATGTATGCGTGGAGCCTATGCGCAGAAAACGTATTTACGCAGTCTGCTTTGGGTCGTCGAGCGGTCAACATCCGGCTTGTGTAGAAAAATGTAAGAAGTACGACACCTCCCTTTCAACAATCTCATTCGGTAAACTTCTTGAACGGCTCTTGGGCCTTGTATTGGGGGAATTAAGAGTAAGAAAAATAGTAGAAAAAAAACGAAAAAAAATATACCAAAATAAAGGATATAACTTGGACCGATTTTAAATGTGAATTAAGTTTAAACGTCTAATGATTTTTTCTTTTTCTTTCAGATTTAACATGTGACACTATTTAGGTATTGTAATTGTAATTAAGCATGGAAATTAAAAACGAGAAATACTTAAGGCGAGAAAGAGCTATAACGAAAGACATACCGAGCGACATTACTTTTTTTAACAAAAGAAAAATGGGTAAAGATTATATTTTCATTTACGAAGAAAGATATTTTTTCCCAGAAGACAGAAAATTCGTAAGAGAAGCCGGTTTCAGATTCTGTCGGAATTAATTAATGTCATGATAAGAGAGTGACGCGCCAAGGGAGAGAGAATACGGGTAAAGAATAACAATTTCACCATACACGTAGCAATAATACAAATTTCGATTCGGTCAGCTGCATGTAGGCCGAAATAATTGAAATTCGGTTATTTTCGATTCCGACGAAGAAAGTCAGCCGTATGAATACAGACCTTGATATGATTATTGTTACTACCTGTTCAAACTGTTAACGACAGACTTTCTGTCACCAAGAACGGGCATCTGGAAATGCGATAATATTGAGACGAGAAAGACAAAAAGATTTGGTCTTCAAGTGAAAACAACCACCCAGTTAAAAGTTGACTGCGGTAATTAATGAGTCGGCGGAAAATTCCGCTAATGAATTCCAGGTACCCCCAGTATAGATAAAAATTTAATGACCACAATATCGATAGAAAAGAAAGAAAGAAAAGGGAAGATAATCTAAGAGATCATTGGCTAAAGTGGTAACATGGGTGATAGGCGGAGGTGAATGTATGAGAAAGAGGGGAAACTTGTTGATGCCCACTGAACGGATTGGTATGAGATACCAATATGAGAAAGGAAGAGTTTAGGAGGATAATTCTCCACCGACCTCTCTCTCCACAGAAGGCGGAGAACCCCTCTAAAACAGAAAGTAATTGACTTCCAAAATTGGGAAGTGATAAATTTTTCTGTTCGAAGACAAAGAGAATCCTTATTGGTGATTTGGAATTATCGAAGAACCCAAACCACGACAGGTCCCCAACCCGGTTTTGGTCGATGTCCATATAAACGAACGCCCCCGGGTGTTTAGAGTAGAGTTGAGTTAAAGATCGGAGACAGATCGACAGAGAGCTGTTGGGCTCGGAGACCAGTCTCGCAGGAGCTGACCGAAAGATTTCCACGCCTTCCGACTTAGACTTCTAACCAAAAGCAATTTTTAATGAAGAACGACTTAGACTTACACCACCAAAGCAAGTTTTAATGAATATCGACTGAAGATACCAAAAAGCCGTTTATTGAAAAACAACTTAAGATATCAAGACTCGCTTAAGAAACGCAAAAGTGTCACGAATCCATAGAAGCGGGCTGGGAGAAAGACACACTCCTGTATTCAGCAGACAGATATAAAGATACTTGTTATTTCTCAACACATTTGAACCTCCTGAGTTTGTTTCATTATTTTTCTTTTACATACACTTGTGCAGTATCACCTTTACTCCGGATTCAGCTTGCACTACGGCCCGACGCCTGATTGATTTCGTCTAAGATCGAATCACAACGTGGGTGACTAGAGATCAAAGCAGTTACTTCGATAACCAGAGGTTTGAGGCGAGCTGAGAACGACAAATCTGATATCGAATCTAACCAGACATCGACCGCGACCAAGACAACCAGAGGGGTTAGCGTCACAAATGGTTCCGTGGTAAACCAGGTTTTCACCCAAACCTGTCAAGGGTTAGATCGTAGCAAATGGTGCTGCAACGATCCCAGGGTTAGAGTGTCACAAACACTTAATAATAAAATTATTTGAATTTGCAGAGGTATATTTGAAGTGTTCTTTTTCGATTTTTACACACTTTATCTCTCTACATTCACACACACACACACACACACACACACACACACACACACGTGCACACACATACATACACACAAACACACACATGCGTGCGTGCACACACACATTCATACACACACATACATATATATATATTTATATATATGCATATATATATGCAGAGATAATCCAGTAGTGCTATACAACCGTTATTTTTGTAAATATGGATGTCCATACACGACATTGTCCGAAAATAAGCTCAGTAACTATAGTGAATTTAACGCCAAACTATTTAAAATTTAATAAAACAATAATTACTGACAATATTTTCCTAAAATTTTAAGATTACTGGGTAGTTAAAAATTATATAGAAAGAGGCTCTCACGTTATATTCTTCGATTAATTTTTACAGATATGTCCCCCATAGAAAAAATTGATAAATATACGGTCAATGGAACTGCCAAAACTTAATCATATCACATGTTAAAAAATTTAATGTCTGCGATATTTTAAACTAAAAGTAAACAATATTAGTTTCATATCAGATTAATTAAACTTTAAATCAGTTACTCTTCCGCAAATAAAATTTCAGAAAAGTATATTTTATCTTTGAAAGATTTACATTGTGCTGACAAATGTTTAAAAATGGATAAACTCAGTGATTTTTAGCGATATAAAATTAATCCTTCCAGTCGATTTAAATTAGATTTGAAATACAGTAAAGGGTTTCGCTTATTAAAAAATATTAAAATGATTCAATTAGCTTGAAATAAAAATTTAAATAAAAGTTCAAGAAAGATTTTTAATTTTTAAAAATTAATTTAAACCTCAGTTATGGCGTTTCTTTGAAGTCACCCGTATACAGGTATACCTCGGGTTACGTCGTTTCAAGTTAAGTCGTTCTCGATTATACATCGTTTGTCAAAAATATGGAAAAATAAAAATCAAGTTTAAGTCATTTTATTCGACTTTACGTCTGTCTGACACACATATTGAGGTCGTAATATCAATAGAAAAACGTTAAAAGCACATAAAATCATGTTAGTGTACAATAGATAAGAATAAAAGTATGTGTTGTCGTCTTATTTAGCGGTTTTTAAGAGCTCAATATTGGCGTTTTACACGGTAGTTCCAATATCTACCGTTTGGCGTCGTTGTCAGCGCAATTTGCGAAATTGAAATCCAGTTTAGCTTAGGCATACGCACAATATACGTCTGCTTATCGCCTACTCTCTCTCATTCTCATTCATTTGTGACTTTTGCCCCTAATGGCTCCTAAGAAAATTCCTAGTGCAAGTGCTAAGCGTCATGCTATAACTCTGGACGATAAAACGATGATAAAACGCCATGAGAAAGGTGAAAAGATTATATCGACTGCTCGATCTTTTGGAATGAGTCGGACAACTGTATCGACGATTGTTTACAATAAGGATAAGATTTTGGCACATATCAAAACTGATAGAGATGAAGAATACTATTATCAATAAGAAAAAAAGGATAAAAAAATGTTTGAAGAGATGGAACAACTTATTTCTTTTTGGATTGATAGGTTGAATCATCAGCATGCTGCTATTAGTCAAGAAATCATTCAAACGAAAGCATTGTCTTTGTTTAAGAACCTGAACAAAAAAATACCCAGATGAGAAAGATATAGAGTTTAAAGCGAGTTAAGGCTGGTTTATGAGATTTAAAGAACGAAGAACTTATCACAGTATTAAGAAGCAAGGTGAAAATGCATCAGCTGACGAACAAGCAGCAGCCGATTTTGCGAAAGCATTGGCGAAGATCATCGAAGAAAACGGGTTTCTTCCTGAACAGATTATATTGGAAAAAAATGCCAGACCGTTATTTCATTGATAAGCATAAGGCTATATCACTGATAAATTATTTTATTCAGAATACTGTACGTCCATATCATAAATACTGTAATATGCAATGGGGGGGTGCTTACTTGCGGTTTATAGTGTGGTTATTTCGACTTAAGTCGTTTTTCTACCTGTCGTAACCTCTGGAACGAATTAATGTAGGGTGAAGTGTATATATATATATATATATACACTTGCATATCGTAGACCTAAGAACCTAAAAGAAATCATAGGTAGTAACCACATTTCAGGCGACAAGGTAATCCGTAATAAACTAAGAACAAAAACAACAGGATTTTCCCAACCATGTAACAACAAAAGAAGTTTATGCTGCAACCACATTAAACACACGAATTCATTCACTAGCTCAGTCCCTAAATCTACTTTCAAAATCTACCACGATTCTAATTGTAGAAGTCATAACATAATTTACCTCCTAGAATGCACACTATGCCAAAAACAATATGTAGGAAAATCTGAATGGCCCTTTTACTACAGAATTAATAACTATCGCAATCGAATTAAGTCGACTCCCCATGAAAAATTATTACCTGTAGAACAACATTTCCGCCTGAAAAAACATGATTTCAAAACCCATGCCAAATTCACTATAATTGAGAGAATAGAAAAGTTCAGAGCCGATAACATTAGAAAGATTTTAGAGTCACATGAAAATAAGTGGATACAACGTCTAAAAACACAATATCCAGCCGGGCTAAATCATAAATTTAACAATATATAGATAGTCAACAAATCAAAACCTACCCACACTTCTCACCCACACAAGACAGACATGCTTACGGAGGTGTGGAGGCCTCACACTTATACACTCACCCACACGAATATACACACTTACACACATCACACTCACTCACTCCCTAAGGAGCCAAATGATAACACACACCTACAGCAATACACACGCTTACACATATCATACTCACTCACTCCCTAAGAACCAAATAACACACACACAAACACTAAACAGCGACACATCCCCTCACCAGGTCCAATAAAACTGTCAAACTGACCAGAGAATTCAGAATAATATGTATCTATCCAGCTCTTATTTCAGATAACAACTTAAAAGAGACTGTTTGACCAACACAAGAAATGTTAAAAGATTCATGTGAAAAAGATAAAAAAATAAAAAAAAAACAAAAAACAAAAACAAATGAAAACTACAGACAAAAGTTCATTTTCTCCATCAAGACATTCATTTCTGTAGTTCACTGCCAACAGCAAACAGAAATATTTCTCCTCCTGATGATGGCCATTTCGGTCGAAACTAGTCGAGGAATCTAAATGGAATAATAATAAAAAAAACGAAAGAATATTAATCTACAACCCAGTGTGTCTAAAGATTTTAATTTTTATTTTCTTATTGTTCAATATATATATATATATATATATATATATATATATATATATATATATATATATATGGGGTCTGTCTTTAAAAGGTCCTATAAATACATAATACTAAAAAAAAAAGAGGAAAAAAGTCTGCCTGGGGATAGGGTGTTTAGGCCCTATTAAATTAAGCAAATGATCCCCCAACACTTATTCCCTTTTTTAAACTATCATTCATAGCTTTCTTTCGGGATCACCATCAGGTGCTTCGCTCTGTTCCGCTTTAAGACGGAATCTAAGTATGAATTGTATTCTGTTCGTCCTGTGAAACTGAAAATTCACCACCAAATTAAGTGCCTTAACAAAGAAGGAGATCATTTTGAAAAATAAACATTTCTCATCTAAAATAAATGCTTTCCGTTTTTATCCTTAAGTTACAGGCGTTTTTAAGAACGCACATATTCACCTCTGAATTAAGTGCATTGACAAGAAAAGAGATTATGTTAAAAAATAGATATTTTTGTGTTAAATAAATATTCTTTTCAGCATTAGGCTACAGGCTTAGTTATGGACCTACACGGAATTAAGTGCGTTGACAAGAAAGGAGATTATGTTGAAAATGAAATATTTGTTGTTTAAAGTAAATATTTATATATTCTTTAAGCTAGAACATTACTGGTGTACCTACATATTAACTAGCGAATTAAGTGCATTAACAAGGAAGGAAATTATGTTGAAAAATGAATGATAGTTGTGTAAAACATGATTTTATGAACATTATACTACAGAATTATTGATGTACATACCGATTCACAATCGAATTAAGTGCATTAACAAGGAAATAAATTACGTCAAAAATGAACTATTGCGTAAAAATTATGTTTCTTTCCTTATTAGGTTTGATAATTATGAATTGAGGCGAATTTTTACGTACTTACTCTTTGAATAAACACGCTAATGACAGATAGGGCGCAATTTAAGGAAGAGCTTTGCAATATTAGCAGCAGTAGTCATTGTTTCATGGGCGTATATATATATATATATATATATATATATATATATATATATATATATATATATCAGTGTGGCGATTCTAATATTGGCTGGTGCAAAAATAATGACGTAATAATGTCGTTTTTTGACGTATTTTTTAACGTCAAAAAACGACGTTATTACGTCATTATGTTTGCACCAACCTAATAATATGTTAGGCTAAACTACTTGATATATAGTTAGAAACCTACACACACTATATATAATATATACTCACACACCCAACCAAACACACACATACATATATATATACATATATATAGTGATTTCCTAAGCGCGGCTTAGATTTTGCACAAGGCCGAAAATATGGGGCACCCAGTCAGAATCGAACTCACTACCCAGTCGTAACTGATCTAGCAAGACAAGCTTTCTAACCATGATACCACGTGGCGGGGGCCCAAATTTATTGATTTTTCTAAGCATAGCATAAATATGGTACAAGGCCGAAAGTATGGGGCACCCAGTCAAGATCGAACTCACAAATCATTCGTTAGTCGTCCAGCGAGATAAGCTAGCTAACTATTACAGCGCCTCGAATTGCCCAAAAGAGATTTTTCAAGCGTAGCTAAGATGTGGCAAAAGACCGAATGTAGGAGGCACACAGTGAGGATCGAATTCACTACTCTGTCGTAACTGTTCTAGCGAGACAAGTTTGCTAAAAATTGCAGCACCTCGAGATGCCATATATATATACACACACACATATATATATATATATATATATGTAATAGCACATTGTGATATATATAATAGCACATTGTGATATATATATATATATATATATATATATATATATATATATTGTTGTATATATATATATATATAATAGCGCATTATGATATATATATATATATTTAAATATAATAGCATTGTGATATATATATATATATATATAATAGGGCATTATGATATATATATATATATAATAGCACATTGTGATATATATATATCTATTTATATATATATATATATATAATAGCGCATTCTGATGTATATATATGTATGTATAATAGCGCATTCTGATATATATATATATATATGTATGTATAATAGCGCATTCTGATATATATATATATATATATATATATATATATAAATAGAAAAGTGATATATATATATATAATAACGCATTGTATATATATATATATAGCGCATTATATATATATATATATATATATATATATATATATATATATAGCGCATTGTATATATATATATATATATATATATATATATATATATATATATATATATATATATATCGTGATGTTTTCACTGTTTTAATTGTTTGTTTGGACATGCGTGTGTTGGCAGGTATACCGGGAAAAATAGCATGACACGCATGCGTAGAATCGGAAAGGAAATATGATCAAAAGAAACGAACAGAAATCTTGTTTGGGGAGGAAGACGATAAAAAAAATGGCTGATGAAATCAAAAGAGACATAGAAAGATGAAAGTTTGAGAAAAACAATGAAAGAAATTGAGGTGTGGGAAAAATCATAAAAAAAAGATGCAGTCGATGAAAATGGAGGAAAGTGAATATGAAAGTAGGCAGACGATTTGATAAAAAAAAATCTGACAGAGATATCAAAGAACGAAAAAAGAAAGAGGAATACTTGCAAATAATAAAAAAAAAACGAATAAAAAAATGGGGAAAGAACAAAGACAAAGAAGTTAAGAAAAAAGGTTGAAAGAAAAAAGATTGAAAGAAAACTTTAGGAGAATAAAAAAAAAGAAGAGTAACGTATGTAATAAGACAGGAATGAAGTTGAAAGGGGAAAATGAAAAGGTGGGAAATATAAATGCAAACAAAAAAGAAAGAAAGAAAGAATGAAAGACAGAAAGACAGAAAGACAGAAAGACAGAAAGACAGAAAGAAAGAAAGAAAGCGTAAACAAAATAAAGCCGGATACAGAGAGGTGGGGGAAATCAAAAATATTTGAAACGATAGAAACAAGCAAAAAATAAAGAAAGAAAATTTGAAGGAAATAAAGAAAGAAAGAAAAAATTCTGGAGGATAAAAAAGAAAAAAGTAAGAGAGGAAGATAAGACAGAAATGAAGATGTAAGGGAAAATAAAAAAAAAGGCGAAAATTATAATAGATAAGTAGAAAGAAAGGAAGAACTCTAGAGGATAAAAACAAAGAGCAAAGACGGAAAACAAGAAAGAAATAAAGATGGAAGGGGAATAAAAAGGTGAAATGATAGAAGCAGAGAAGAAAGAAAGAATGAGGGCAGACGTGTCGTGGAAAAAGAAAAAAAGGAAAGAAAGAAAGAAGGAAAGCAAGCGTAGTGTGAGAAGAAAGGAAGAAAGCAAGCAGACTTAGTGCGAGAAGGAAAAAAAGAAGAAAGAAAGAAGACAAATGTCATGCGTTAAGAAAGAAAGAAATAAAGAAAAGAAAAAAAGAAAAAGGAAAAGGAAAGAAAGAAAAAAAGTCATGCGAGAAGGAAGAAAAAAAAAGAAAAATGAAAAGAAGAAAGAAAGAAAGAAACCTAGAAAAGAAAAGGAAAGAAAGAAAGAAAGAAGAAAAGTTAAATGTCATGCGAGAAGAAGGAAGAAAAGAAAGAAAAGAAAACAAATGTCATGGAAGAAAAGAAGAAAAGAAAGGAAGAAAGAAAATGTCATGAAAGAAAAGAAAAAAAGAAAGCAAAACTAACCTAGTGTGAAAAGGAAGAAAGAAAGAAAGCAAAGTTAAAGGTCAGAAAGGAAGAAAAGAAGAGAGAAGACAAATGTCATGCGAGAAGAAGGAAAGAAAGAAAGAAAGAAAGCAAACCTAGTGTGAAAAGGAAGAAAGAAAGAAAGCAAAGTTAGTGCGAGAAGGAAGAAAAGAAGAGAGAAGACAAATGTCATGCGAGAAGAAGGAAAGAAAGAAAGAAAGAAAGCAAACCTAGTGTGAAAAGGAAGAAAGAAAACTTAGTGCGAGAAAAGAAAAAAAAGAAAGAAGAAAATGTCAAGAAGAAGAAAGAAAGAAAGAAACCTATGTGAAAAGGAAGAAGAAAGAAAAGAAGTTTGTGAGAAGGAAGAAAAAGAAGAAAGAAAACAAATGTCATGCGTGAGAAAAAAGAAAAAAAGAAAGAAAAAGAAACCTTGAAAAGAAAGAAAACTTAGTGCGAGAAGAACTCAAAATGTCTGGTGTGAAAAGGAGGAAAGAAAGAAAGAAAGCAAACAGTGTGAAAAGGAGGAAAGAAAGAAAGCAAACTTAGTGCAAGAAGGAAGAAAGAAAACAAATGTCGTGTGAGAAGAAAGAAAGAAAGAAAGCAAACGTAGTGCGTGAAGAGAGAAAGAAAGAAAATAAAGAATATTTATTACCTGGGCGAGAAACAGGATAGAAAGAGGAAAGAAAGGAAAAAATCTTGAAAAGAAAAATAATGCAAATAAATAAATAAATTTCTTGGACTCAATAGAAACATAAGAGCATTGGAAAAGAAAACATGAAAAAGAAAAACAACTCGATAAAGAGACAAAGAGAAGTTGAGAATATAGGATGAAAAATGTCGGGGGTGGGGATTGAGTGTCGAAAGAGAAATATAGAAAATGAAAAGCAAACAAGAAAGAAAAGTCTTACGTGTGAAGAGTCGATGACAAATGCGCTGAAAAGCCAAAATAAAACTGGGAATCTTTTTGATTAAAAATAAAAGACCCCCAACACTCGGAAAGAACGGAAAAACACAAAACCCGTACACAACGAACGACTAAACAAATAAAAGCAGTAGAGAATAAGAAAATAAAACAAAACAGACGAACAAGAAAAGGCGGCGATAACAGTTATTTTAAATCTGTGCCTCCCTCTACCCGGTCAGATGACAAGGAATTCTTTCAAAGCGTAACGATGGAACCCTTCTGAATCTGAGAATGTCTTTGATTTGCACCCGTGTCGCCCTCTGGTATCAGGATAATACTTATTAGGGAAAGAACAATCAATCCGATACATTGAAACGAGCTGCTATGAAGAGGTGAATTGTAACAGCGCGTTCTGTTTTCAAACGTTGACGTGTTATTATTTCATTGGTTCTTTATATATTGGCGGCGATAGTGGGGGTTATCGGCTGCTTTTATCACCTTTGTGTCTAATCAGACCTTTTGATTTCGTTTGTCTCATTACCTACCCACCCATTTTTGTTTTTCCCAGATCAACGTCGATTTTCGGATTCAGCGGTGTTTGTGGCAGCAGAAGTAAGCATGCACAGTTGTATTGAAAGTTTTCAGACAATTATAGGTTTACGGCCAATAACACCAGGTCTCGTACGATCAGCGAAGCTAAGCAACGCCGAGTTGGGTCAATGCCTAGAATTGACCGCTCAGGAATAGCAGGTGCTGTAAGAGTGGACGTGCTGAGAGACTAATGGATAATGGCTCGGAATTGAAAATCAGAGAGCCGAGTTCCAATTCCAGTCGGGTTCGTTATATATTTACTTACGTGCAAAGACTCTTCTGAAAAGTATGAATCCACCTCTTTTTCCTCCCCAGCTATGGGTTAATTAGTAGGACTTGTATCCTAAGTCTAGCGACGTCGAGCCTGGTCAGTGCCCAGATCGTTGACTACTCGGGAGTAGCAGGTGCTGTAAAATTAGATGTGCGAATAGTGTAATGGATAACGGCTTGGAAATGGACATCAGAGAGCCGAGTTTCAATTCCAGTCAGGTTCGTTATGTTCACACACACACACACACACACACACACATATATATATATATATACAAGAATATACATTAAAAAACCTCTCTAGTTTCGGTAGTCTGATTAAAAAAAAATATATGGATATTTCAAATTTAGTTACCTCCCGTGAGGTTTACATCGTGAAATTTAAATCGTGCGGTACATAACTTTAGCGTTGAAAAATAACTTTCAGATAAACACAACAGTTTTGTCTCAGAAAAAACAAAAAAACAAACAAAACACCCTGATGATGACAGTGTGCTAATATCGAAAGTACTCGGAATAAATAGATATGTATAAATATGGTAACTTTCTCTCTCCCTTTAATAAGGATACTAAAAAGCTTGTCCGTGAATATGAGAGGAAAATAAGTAGACAAATCTTGTCTAAATTATTCAATGAGACCCGGGTTCGAATCTCACCATCGCCGATTTGTCAGGAAGGCGACTTCCTGATGTTATCGGAGTGGATCGAGGTCGATCCCAGAGCCTGAAAACCATAACATTGGTTGAACTAAGCTTTATGTGTGAAATTGGGTAGACGGAACTTTTGTGGACGTCGATAGCTGGGATAACACGAAGCCACAAGTCATCGTGGTCGAGGGCTCGAGCGTGTTGGCCTTGTTCAAGTTGTTGATCACACTAGATAACACGCTATCTCCCAGAAACTGTAACTAAGGTCTGCTCATGTTAGTTGTAGTATAAGTTGGGCTCTGTGGGTGTTGAGCAAAACACAAATGTGTCTGAGCGATCGTTTGCAATAGAGATTGTCTAGCTGCCCTAGTATATATATATATATATATATATATATATATATATCCGGATAAGATGAAAATGAATAGAGTACAATTCCAACAAATCACCTGATGAGATGCATTGATACGCATCGAAACACGATTTGCAACTTTGATATGTTTTCAGTGTAATATCCTAATATATATATATATATATATATATATATATATATATATATATATATGTGTGTGTGTGTGTGTGTGTGCTTTGTTATTACACTCAGGATTTATATCCTCCTTGTAATTATCCATACGGATTGCCAATTAACTTTATCATAAGGGAGAGTCGCATATATATATATATATATATATATATATATATATATGTATCCTCATCTTCACTGCCATATTCACAACATTTCGGCAGTTGTAATTTATCTCGTCCACCGAGGTAGATTGTTCTAGTTCTACGTGCCATGTCTCTTCCGGATGTCTCAGTTATTTCCCTTTAATTCAACTCTTCATGATTTTGGTTCACCACTTCTGTAGCCTGGTATTGAACTCACAACTCTTAGGCTCTAACCAACGTCTTTATCCACTGGGCCATGAGTCCCTGAGAACAATCTACCCCGATGGATGAAATAAAGGGTCCGATTCGAAATTTCAGTCACCTGAAGAAGGCCGGAGCGTACAACGGCCGAAACGCTGTGAATATGGCAATGAATATGTGGATAACGGTCCGAATAATGTAAATAATACAAGTTATCATAATATTAGGTTGGTGCAAAAATAATGACGTAATAATGTCGTTTTTTGACGTATTTTTTAACGTCAAAAAACGACATTATTACGTCATTATTTTTGCACCAACCTAATACCTCATCTCAGAGATATAGACAGATATAATCGAGTTTACCCCATGCACGGCAGTAAATCTACTAAGACACAAAGGGTTACTGGGTACGGAAAAATTAGAAAACAGAGATATTACTAAGGAACGAGAACAATAGAAGAGTAATCCGGAGGACAGTAGATATCGATTGACATTGCATTTGAGTTTTTGAAGATTAAAGTTGGCTGGATAGCATGGGACCGGAATGGAGTTCCACAGGCGGGAAGTGCGAGAAAAGAAACTGTTAGCATAGGACTCATAGTTACATCTAGCCAAGTCAACTATATATTGATCAGTCTAGCACAGCGTTTAAATTCATAGAGTCTAGGTACCATAGCGAAGAGCGATATTTATTCTGTTTAATACAGAAATGTGGCACAAGGCCGAAAAGGGGAATGGGGAAAGGACGGTCTTCTTCTGTCTTAACTATAACTTAGCTAGCCGCAAACATTGACCCAATCGTATGAACAATATTCCTTACACCAAAACAACACATTCATACGTACCTTTCTTACTACATTCACCATAATACCTCTTTGTCTCTATGAAAATACTAACTAGTCCCCATAGCGAAGAGCGATATTTATTCTGTTTATAATACAGAAATGTGGCACAAGGCCGAAAAGGGGATTGGGGAAAGGACGGTCTTCTTCTGTCTTAACTATAACTTAGCTAGCCGCAAGCACTGACCCAAACGTACGAAACAATATTCCTTACACCAAAACAACACATTCATTCGTACCTTTCTTACTACAACCACCATAATACCTCTTTGTCTCTATGAAAATACTAACTAGTCCCCATAGCGAAGAGCTTATCAGAACAATTACCATGAAAGTATTTATAGAAAAGACCCAGGAAGGCAACTTTACGGCGATGGGAAGAAGCCGAGACGCCAAATCATGACCAATAATATTACTGATTCTTCTTTGGATCTTATCAAGGGACTCTAGATAAATAGCAAGAGCAAGGACCATATATGGCGGCAATATTTTATTCAAGGGCAAATGGACATAGATATGTAAGGTAGATTTTTTGGACAGGAATATTGTCTAGCTCAACACAGTGAAGCAACTTTCTTAGAAGCTGACCTACCAATGAATTCAATATAAGCTTTCCACTTCATGTTAATATTTAAGTACCGTATTTGATGCGCTTATTTTTACTAATAATATCTTTTAAAATTCCTCTGCGTCATATATGCCATATGTAGGTTTAAAATTCGCGATAATCGATCGAAATTAGTTACCAGGCAACTCCTATTAGCTTAGACTTTAGAGTAACTTTCATATACCTATTGTCATTATTTAAAAGGCTATTATAAAGATTAAAAATGTTATCATT